AGGGAGGGGGAAAATGAGCAACTGATATTAAGGGCTAAAGTGGAAGGCAAATGTTTTGAGAATGATGAGGGCAACAAATGTACATATGTGCTTGACGCAATGGATGTATGTATGGACTGTGATAAGAATTGTACGAGCCCCCAATAAAATAATTTTTTAAAAAATTACTGACCATCCTGCCACATAGAATCATATTGACTCTGTAGGACAGACTAGAACTACCTCATAGGGCTTTTAAGGAAGCAAGCTGCTACATTTTTCTCCTATAGAAAGGTGTGTGGGTTCGAATCTTTGACCTTTTGGTTAGGAGTATCGAGTCTAACCACTATGCCACCAGGGCCCATTGCACATTAATTAAGCAACCCTCAATTGCAAGTTTAGAAAATAAAAGTAATTAACAATGAAATAAACAACGAAAAGTGAAAATTTGAAGACTCATAGAATTCAAGCTGTAGCTCCTATTGTAACATGAGGGGATTTCATAAAGCTCATGGAAAATGGAATTAAAAGATAATGGAGCTTTCCCACTAATTTTCTGAAACCCCCACGTATATTGAATAGCTGTCAGCTGTTCAAATGTCAATGGCATGGCCAATTATTTAAGGACGGTTCCCGCTGCTGTCTTGAAAGTGCTGTCAAATTTTGCTGTAAATCCACCGAAAGATGAAGCTTCTGAGAATCACAACCAATGGACCAAGCAGATGTGGTCCTCAGTCATTTTCAGTCGAAAGGGAAAAACAAAATATTTTGTTTAATCTTATCTATAACATTTTTTTCTCTCCATCAAAGTTTCTATTTAGGAATATGACAAACAGGTTTTTGCTATACCAGTCATTTTCTGTCTCTCTAACATCCATTTTATAAGGAATAATATTTAAAAGCTAGAAGCAAGAGAAAAGAAACAGATGAAAAGTCAGGTACTCTGACATTCATAGCCAATGGGAACAATAACAAATTACCTGCAGTAGATTTGGGGGTAAGGGGTTAATTCCATATTACCTTTTGAATTTCTTTTGTATTTTCTCCCTTAGAATCTTGTCATTAATACCAATCTTTTAAAAGTACAGTCTTATTTGCATGTACTGCGCACATCATAAAATGTAATTGCTCAACCGTATTAAGAAGCGTTATCCAATCACCACCACAATCAATTTTAGAGCATTTTCTTCTCCACTTGTTGTTAGTTCCCCATTCCCTCCATCTTCCCTTACCACTCCCCTAGGTAATTATTAATCTAGTTACTGTCTCTATAGATTTACCCATCCTGGATTTTAAAGAGAAAAATCATACAAAACACAAATAGGAAGCAAACAAGCAACTACACAAAACATAGAAAAGATACCAAGGGCTCAAGTAGAAAGAAAATGTTTTGAGAATGATGATGGCAACAAATGTACAAATGTGCTGGACACAATGGACCTATGTATGGATTGTGGTAAAAGTTGTAAGAGCCCCCAATAAAATGATTAGAAAAAGAAAAAGCAAAAAATCCCATAAAAACCTCAATCCAAAAGAAAGCAGAAAACATCAAAAAACTAAAACAACTTTAAAATGGGTCAAAAGGGAGATCAAATGACAAGACATTACATTTTAACTACATCCACCACAGCTGGCTTTACAATGCTGTTCACATCCCTAGACTCTGCTCAGAAGGAATTCATTGGAGGTTTAATCCACGTGTACCCTGCAAATAGATTCTGGGCTTTAAACCGATCTTTTAGCGGAATAACTGGGTAGGGCAGAGATAAATGGAACGCAAGATTTAATATATATTTTTATCACAAAATAGCAATAAGAGCCTTTTGAGCAAAAAAAAATATTCTCACGAAAAGATTAAAAAACAAAACAAAAGCAAGACATGGAAAGAGGTGGAGAGGTGGCGCATATCTCATAAAGGAGTACGTGTGCACACCCCACTCCGACAATTTGGACAGAGCTTTTCCAGACATCAACATGCAAAAGGCAAGGTTTCAGTTCTACTAAGCAGCCCACATTCAAAGAGCTAAACTACTCAGAGACACACTCCTTGGCTCTGGTTTGCACAACACGAAAGGCATGCACAAATGCAAATCTCATCCCCCTTTGCTTTAGAAGAAAGAGCTCCTGTATAACCCAATTTATTTTGAGATACAGGTAGAGTAAAAAACAAAATACAACACAACAACAACAAAACACACAACCATGCCTATTTACCTTGAATGGGGTAAGAATAATGTGCTGGGCTTGGCTGGCTTGTGGTTAACCCTGTAGTGCAGGTAAGAACACTGTGTTGACTTGGAGATGGAGTCTGAATTAAACCACTTTCAGGTTTCATACCTGGCCACAGTGCACCTGAATCAGATAAATTGGACCAATTACAACATATACGGGGACTGAAGAGCATGGTTATGCTTGCAAATATCTGTCAGCAGGTTTAAAATCTAAACCTTAAAAATAAATTTGTATGTTAAGAAAAAAGTTGCTGATTCTCCCATTTGTAATATACCACAAGCAAATACATATGACAAGAACTGGGGGTGGGGAGAGGGTGGCTGGGTGAAGCCATAGGAACAAAAATCTTGCCTAAATTCCCAGTAGTGATATTTATATAAGTTTTTTCAGTGGTAGGGAGAAAATGGTCAGGGTTCAGAGAATGAGCACAGAGTGCCTGATGTTCATGTATAGTGAAAAATCATTTATGTAGCACTCTCAGGGTGAGAGACATTTCACGTAAATTTAAAATTCACTTACCCATTAAACAAGCATCAAACTTCCCTAAAATATATGAAAAATTTCTCTACCTTTGTAAGCTCATTATCTTTGTTGTTTTTTCTAATTAGGAAAGAAATAGCTTTATATCTCTGCAAATTAAAAAGTATAGAGATAAATAACTTAGAAAAATTAAAGCCATGTATCATTTAATATGAAGACTTAACCACTATTTTAAGAGTCACTGGATTTCCTGTATGCCTTTGCTACTTGTGAAAAAAATAAAAATGGGATCATATTATACACACTATTCATACCTTGCTTTTTTCCACATAATACATCTAAAGGCTACATTTCCAGGTTAGAATGTAAAACTTATCCCCATTTTAAACAGCTGCTTATCATTTAGACTGGCTTAATAAGATTGGCTGTTCACTTTTATCTTGCTTTATTTTTACCACAATGCTCCTGAGTAATAATCTTCCTAAAATACACTTATATCCTTTCCTGCTTTCTTAGGCAGAGGGAACTGTGAGCATAATTTTGGGTTTCAATATTACGTCATGTTACAGATATTACAGCAGCACTGGCAGAGGCTATTGTGATATGTGACGCTATCTACGTTAAACAGAACTCAATTACAGTTCTTTGATTTTTAAGTTCTTACATTGTTCTGTCTTTCCTTTGTGTTCTGTTAGTTCTTTACAATCTCCTATTTCTCGCTTTACCTCCCTTTTAATTTGTAGTAAACTAGGACATCCTAATAAAATTTGCTAGAATTCATAGCTAAAATTAGTCTAAAGATGCTTTTCAAGAGTGAAACACTCATGAACTCCAGTGCAGAGTGATAATTTTGCCAATGTGAATGTGTATTTAAAAACCACCACCACAGAAAAATGCAATGTTTGGATGTTAATTTATATTCTGAAGTTATGTTGCTGGATTAGTGTAGTTGAAGCTGAAATTTAAGTCCAAGAAGGATTGTCAAACAAAGTTAAGAAATCAGTACTAAGGCCAGCCATGCCTTCCAATTCAACTTTAAATTATTTCAAATATGTACAGTAAGAAATGTAATGCTTTGAGGATCAGGGCTCCATCTTCACTGGACCACTAAGAGGCTTCAGTATAACTCAGCTATGTAAAATTTGTTGATTTTAAGTGAATTTAAGAATGGTCAAGAGAGATGTAAAAATCTTAAATGGTCAACAATGAGAGATAATACTTGTTTTGCCCCAAACCATACTTTTACAAATGCAATTTCCCCCCCTCACCTATTAACTGCCCAGAGTAATTTATTTGAGAGGGCTGAAGAATATTAACATCCGTGGTGGTGCTCTGGTGTGTGCTGTAAAGAAGCCTGGTAGTGCAGTGCATCATATGCTGGGCTGCTAACGAGAAGGTCTGCAGCTTGAACCTAAGGGAGGAAGACCAGGCTGTCTGCTCCTGTGAAGATTTATGGCCAAGGAAATGCAAAGGAACCCTTCGACCCTGTCCTATCCGGTTGCTATGAGTCAACATTGAATTGATGACAGTGAGCTTGGTGTTTGAATTTTTGATGGTGCTGTGGCATAAGCACAAGGCTGGTGGTTCCAAACCAGACGCTCAGTGGGAGTACGATGAGATTTACGGTCTTAGAAACCCTAAAGAGCAGTTCTACTCCTTCCTGGAGAGTCACTCTGAGTTGGAAATAACTCGATGGCAGTGAATTCTTGTGTGTGCTTTTGGTGGCAACGTGGGGTAGGTGTTGCGCTGCTAATAGCCAGGTTCAAACCCACAAGCTCCTCCGTGGGTGAAAGATGATGTTGCCGGCTTCGGTAAAGTTTAGGGGCTCAAAAATCTTAAATGGGGTAACTATAAATGGGAATTGATTCAGTGGCAGTGTTTTGTTATGTTTTTTTGGGGTGTGTGTGTGATATAAACTAACGTGCTTGACTTCAAACTGAAAGGTTGGTGGTTCAAGTCCACCCAGAAGCTCCTTAGAAAAAAACGAGTCACTGAAAACCCTGTGAAGTACAGTTCTCCTCTGATGCACACAAATAGACTTGCCAACTCTTGTTTTGTTGGTTTTTAAAAATTAAATAATGAAGTGGGAGCTCATTCCTTTAACGGTGTTTGGGAATGTTATTCCTACCATCTACACTGTGAAGCCTGTGAGCCAGAACTCAATGGGTGGCCTTGTTTTTCTGGATTTCACAAGCTTTCAATCTTTAACACGATACACTCTTACCACCTGTCTGTTGCTATTACTAGTAGAAAATATTTGCATTTTCTTGCCCTAACAGGTTTCTACCCTACACAAATAATTGCAGCTTTCATAGGCTTTACTGTGATGTAAAATTTGAATATTAGTGCCATGATTATTGCTGGTTGTGTATCACTTTTTATGTAAATTCATCACCATTTGCATGCCATAATAACTTTAAGATTGATTGTAATCAATCCCCCGCCCACCCCCCCCACCAAATAGGTTCTGAATCCTAAGGTGCTGGATATGAACCTGATCTTTATTACATTTGTACTAAAACGTCACTTTATTAATAAAAACAGTACATACTGAGAAGTGTTGCCAGCCTTATGACTTAATATATTTCTTAAAGTTTCAAAATACAAACTGTCTCTATAAACTATGTCCTCTCATAAGGTAAAAAAGCAGGGGACAGATGTCCAAATCAAATAGAACAGTTTTGAATGTCTCTGACCAGAAACAAAGTAATTATCTAAGTATTTTGTGAGAAAAAGGAATAAAAGGTAATATGGACGTGGTTCTCAGCATGACAGTGGTCCTATTCTTTAAGCATTTTTCTTCTAAAAACCATTCTTCCCAGAATTTCAGGTAATGGCTAGCATGACTCAATGCTTTGACCGTGTAGCCGTACTTGCTGCTCACAGGAAACAAGGAAACCAAACCCCAGTTTCTTGACTCCTATCTTCCTGCTTTCCGCTATCACTAAAGTTTCTCAAGTGCTTTTAAGCACTAAAGGAAAAACTGGTGGCCAGTGGTTATGTATGTGTTGGGCTGCTAAGCAAAAGGTCTGCGACTTGAAACCACAGGTTGCTTCCAGGGAAAAACAAGGTCTTTCTACTCCCATAAAGAGCTACAGTCTCAGAAATCCACAGGGGCGATCGACTCTGCCCTATAAGGTCGTTACGAGTTGAGATCGATTAGAAGGCAGCGCATTTGATTTTGGTGTGAGCATCAAGAGCATGCTGAGGAGATACAGCTGGTCTACCACTGAAAAGGGAAGTCTGATCTTAAGTGGTAATCCTCCTGGGCCCCACACTGGACCTTTCCCACAAACTCTCAGCACACACACTTCCCTGTTACTAACCAAACTAGTGTGAGTAGTTCAGTTAGAGAACTACCGATCTATTTTTAGAAAAGTTTGGCTAGGAATTGAAGTCTACATCAGTACTGGAAGAAAGCCAGTGAAAATATATCTTGGTTTGTTCATTCAACAGATGATTGAGGCACGCAATACATTAGTATGTAATTTAATTTAGGACATGGAACTATAGTATAAAAATGCAAAATTACAGGAAGAATATATATAACAAAATCCCATGGTCTCACCATGCAGACCAGAACAAAAGGCAGGCAGTCCTTGCTTTTGATTCATGTATATGGGAACTATGCCCTCACTTTGCAGGGTTTTGTGGTATATCAAATCAAAGCTGTACTGTTAGCATTCACATTTTTCCATCCAAATTATGCTGTATATATTTTTTGAAAACATTAAATTGGGACTAAATTACACTTTCAGTTATATACTCTGATTTTTTTCAGTTAACAATATACTGAGCATTCTTTAAGAATATGGCTTATAGTGGCTATCTAGTTTTTCATTCTATGGATATAATGCAATTTAACACATTAACTAGGTATATAATATTTAATAACAAACTATAGAAATGATCTCTGAAAGTATAATCTTTAGGAAGCCAAAATGTAGGTTGTTTCTGATTTTTTGCTATTATAAGTAATGCTGCAGTAAATATTCAGGTTAAAATTTTGTATCTCTAATTAGTACTAAAGAATAAATTCCTAGGAGTGAAATTACTGAGGGAAATAGAATGAACATCTTTAAGGCTCTTGGCACGTACTGCCAAATCTTCATTTCATCCTAAATTTATTTTAAAATTACTTAGAATAATGGATACTAAAGGAAGATGTTATGAGCCATTAAAAATAACTGAACACCCTTTCCCACACACATGATTTCTTCAGATCACTGAAATTTAACACAAGTCTCGTCCTGCTACTCTACCGTTTCTACACCTGAAAGAATGTGGCTGCCATTCCTTTACTTTCAAAGTTGTTTTTTTTAAATAAGATAGTCTTCTTAAGGCTTCTTCTAGTCTTTTCCTCATTCTTTAAGAGGATGAAGCTTTTAAACTTCAAACTCAACTCTGAGTTTGACTATATTTTCCCAAAATATCTAACCTTATGAGCACCTTCTGTAACTAAAAAGCTCTGGGTTCTAATCTCATCTCAGACCTTTACTAAACTGCATGACCTTGGGCTAATTACTACCAGCTCTGGTGACACAGGGGTCATACGCTGGGCTATGATCCACAAGGACAGCAGTTGGAAACCACCAGGACAAGTGAGGGAGAACAATGGGGCTTTCTACTCTTGTCAAGTTACAGGCTTGAAAACTCACAGGGGCAGTTGCTATGAGTCAGAATTGATTCCATGGCAGAGTTTGTTTTTTTGTGGGGGACAAGTTACTTAATTCTTCTAAACCTAATTTCCCTAATATATCAAAGGGATAATGTTACTATCTAGCTCATAAAATTGTGCTGAGAATATAATGGTACAATAATGTAAAGTGTAAAATCCTTAAGATACTACTTGGTATAGACTAAACATTCAGTAAATGAATAATAGTATTACAATATTTTCTGAAACCCTGTTTACATATGATATAAAACAACAACTAGTCAATCTGAAAATAACAATGTACTAAAATCTTTTCAAATGACAAAGAAACCACATTTCGCTATATATTTTAAGTGAACATATTTCCTTTTCCTTTAAAAAGCATACTAGAATATAAGAAAATGCCTTTTAAAAATATAGTCACTTTTATAAGAATTACAAACAAGTCTTTCTGTGAGTGCTGGTGGCACAGTGGGGTAAGAGATGGATGGCTCACAGGAAAGCCAGTGGTTTAAAGCCATTAGCCACTTTGGTAGAAAGGTAAAATTGTCTGTTCCTGCAAAGATACAGTATCAGAAACCCTGTGAAGCTGTTTTTATTCTGACCTATAGGCTCACTAAAACTTGTGAGAATATATCCAGCATAAAATAAAAAGTTAACCAACGGTGTCCACTTGGACTCACTCTGACCCTATGTGTAGAAGGGCTCCACAGGGTTTGCCTGGCTGTGATTTTATATGGCCACTGCTAGTCCTCCTTCTGTAGTGCCGCTGGGTGAACTCAGGCAACCTCTAGGTCAGTAGTTGACTACAAAGCGCGTGTACCTCCTATGGACTCATTCATCCACACAACTTACATCTCTCTACACTATTAAAAGTCAAATCAAATCCATCTCTCTCTGAATTACCAACAGAGGAGGATATGAAACACAAATCTTCCATGTCCCCAAATATTTAAAAACAAAACAAAAACAGGTTAGCAGCATTTCTTCATGATATAAGCACCGTTTTCTTCCAGTTTTTAAACAGAGATGTCCACTTTACAGAATTTCCTCTCTTTCCTTTTATTTAATATGAAGGAAAAGCAACCATAAAAGACATAATATATAGGATCTATATGTCTGTGGCATCATACTAGATATCCTACATAAATTGAATTCCAAGGTAAAAGAAGAGATTTATTTAATATTGGGTGGAAGAATAACCAATTGTGAAATAATGTTATAAAAGGTATTGACTGGGGTTGCTAATAGAATACAAACTAAATCAGGTTCAATAAAATAAAGTAATTCTTTTATAGCTGCCAGCCTATTATACCAAGCTTTTGAAAACGTTAGCTTTAATATACACAAAACAACACAAATATTTGCACACAGGATTTCCCTTCCAAACGGACTCTTCAGCCTTGGCTGACTAACTACATCACAAACACAAGATTGTAGGACACTGCTGATATTGACAGGTATGGAGGCATGCCTATGCAAATAGGAGAAACAAAAAAATGTCTGCATCTCATCCCTCATGAAATTATCAATTATAACTGTTGTTATATATATATAGAACTCCCAATTTCTGTTTCTGACAATCTCTAGGAGCCAAAAAATGCTAGCAAGCATAACAGTGAGAAAACTGACGTCATTGTAAAATACTAGCCAAATGAGGCAGGATTAGGACAGATGTAGAAACCAATAGCAAGCAACAACAACACAGCTAGAATTTGTGGCAAGCTGTTTTGAGGGTTTTTCCATTTCCTAGCTTTTTTCAGTAAAATCTACAGACATAGGACTTTATTAACAGATTGTAAATTTTGAAATAATGTAATGTTCTCTCAATTCTTATAACTTAAAAATGTTATAGTGTTCTCCATTTGTTTACATTAGTTCTAAGAAAGCAAGAATAGGGCAATAAAGCATACTGCATATATCTATTTATATACATTGAATAATCAAGACAGATATTAAGCATTACAAAAACCATCCCTCACACTGATTTTTGACAAATCATTTTCATTTACAATTCATGTTCAAAATATCTAAAACCAATAGACAAAAAGCCCCATGACATGATAAAATTTATAGAAAACTAGGAATTGCCCCCATTCTAAGATGATTTTTTTGTTTCAACAAACATTTGATCAGAGCTTGAGGATAAGAAGGGATAGGAAGAAAGAAGTTAGCAAAAATATATTTTTTAAGTATGAAGGGCTAATTATTATAGCTGGAGATTTAGTCTACCTGATTTTATTAAGAAATTCCCACCTCAAAATACATTATGCTTACCTACTTATGGTATCATGTTACAACGTCAAGTCAACAGTAGTCTCACCAAGAATTTTCTGAACACTTTAGAATTCCAGTGCGAAAGCAGAACTGAATGCCTTCAAAAGAGCTAAGTTTGGGTAGATAAACAACGTGTATGAGGCTTGCTTGTTGTTCTTGTTAGGTGCCAGAATCGAGACATCTGGTACACAATAGAACAAAACACCTTCACAATCTTTGCTGTATTTTGAGCCCATCTAGCTCGTGGTCGGTTTTTTGGAGAAAGATGAAAGAAACGGCTTAAAACAGGATGCCTTACCAAAAGGAGGTAGTCCATAAGTTTGAGTTGCCTGAGGGTAGACAGCATAGGGTTGAGACTGCTGTAGCGTCTGGTACTGAGTCTGCCCAGGATAAGCAGTTTCCGAAACAGGAACAGAGAGGACATGTGCATATGGTCTGGAAAAGTTCAGGAAAACAAAAACCTGTATGTATAATTTACTTCAGTAATGAGAAATAGGGAAAATGGCTAATAGCATTATCAGAAAAGAACTGGCAACACAGAGAACGATCTACCTCTAGATGGTTCTTGCTAGGGTCACATGTAGAATATACTTCTTCTTTTTATGTTCTCCTATAGCCTACCTAGCAAACAATGTTATGGAAGAGATTACTAATTTTAAACATCCTTCCGAGGTCCAATAAACATTTAGAGAGTGTTACTACATGCAGGGCCCTATGTGAGATACAAGAATGGATTAAGTTTGTTCATACCCTTATGTAGAAAATCCTACATAACAAGAAATTGGATAGAACAGGACTAACCAATTGGCTCATTCTCCTCCCAGGCCTGGGGTTAAAATTCAAAGAGGAAGTGGGACCTGGAAATGAGAGCAAGGTTGTGGAAAAAAGGCAAGCAAGTCACCATAAAACAGAAGAAAGGGCTGGGTCCCAACTTTCCCAGATCCTGCTTATGAAAGGGTTGCCAGCTCACTAGGAAAACTAGGCAAGTCCAGACAGGATTCAGAATCTTTACTAATAAGCCTTACTTAGTGAGCTTACTAAGCCAAAGCATACTGCTCCTTGTTGGTGCCAACCACAGCAGAGATGGCTGGGTAAATTCAACAGTGACACCCCTGGGACATTAGCTAGCTGACTGGATCATTTCAACCACATAATAAGATGCTCCCACATTTTATGTGCTAAATTTTTACACATCAGCTATTTTATCTGGTGGATTATGTTAAAATTATAATGTAAGAAAGAATGGGTTATATGTACCTTATGAGTCATAGCAGCAAAACCTTGGGAGGGAGGTGTGATAAGAGGAAAAATATTTTTTGTTTTCTAGTTTTAGGGAAGAGAAGATGAAGGAAGACTATGAAGAAGTGGTATGCAAACTAGTAAGCAGGGTGTGCAGAAATGAGCCAAGTGTATTCTAGGGAAAGAAAGCCCAAACAAAGGTACAGAAAGGAGAAACAAGGGCTTCAGCCACAAGGAGCATAGATGACATTAGAAGACGTTGCCAAGGAAAGCCAGGAAAACAGACGACAGCAAAGACCCTGACTGCCAGCTATCCAGAGTTCAGACAGATCTGAAACAGGGAGCCACTGAAATATATGAGCAAAGGGTGAAAGGAACAGTTTTCTTTCCTTATTTTATTTTAAACCAGACAGATTAATTCGACATTGCTTTGTAGAATGGATTAGAGGAGAGAAACTGGAAATGAAGGTCAGCTGGCACAAATACGAAGGTGTTCTGAATGTAATGGGTATACAGATGTTTCCTGAAATGAAAGCACAAGTTTGGGATATGCTGGATATTCTCTTCTTAGGGGATTCCAAGCAAATAAATTAGAAAATCTCTATTCTTCTTAGCCAGATATGAGTACAGGAAGTAGTTCAGGTTGCAATTCTTACTCACATCACATGGGAACAATTTTAAAATATTAGTCATCTCAAATGGACTTAAGTTCCCTTTATGCTAAAGATAATAATATCCTTTTTCTTAAAGTATTATTAGAACTCAAAAGTACTTCCATGTTTATTAGCTGATTCCTTCATGACTGCAGAGAGTAGGTATCATGATTGTACAGAAGAAGACAGCCATGTGAAAGTTATTGGCCCAAGAACACTTATTAAGTGTTAACACCAGATTGCAATTTGGCAGACTCACTGAGCTGACTTTTTAACATTTACTCTTTAATCTGAAAAATTCTAGCATCCCTCACTCTTGGTAACAGTTTCTTAAAACACATAAGTCTGTACCATGGCTTGATAATCACATTGACCATATATCTATGTTATGTATAGTTCAGTACTCACACTGTTCTGTATTTATCCATCTCAGAGATAAGTAACTTGGTTGACCTTACATAATGATCTTACCCAGGAAGACCTGAAATACTGCCTCATAAGTGACTTAAAATGTCCAAAATCTATCTTACTTTAAGCCCAATCCTACTTTCCTTCAAACAAGAAACTGAACAAAGATTAGGCTGAGAAGTCCCCGCCTGAGGCCAGCTTGAACGGTTTTTATTGATCTCTATGTCAAGGTAAAGGGAAAAATAACTAAAGGTCAATCCGTGATATGCCTTGACCATTAACACTATTTTGCATTTTCAGTGCCTTTTCAGAGTCAGCTCCTCCTGGCCGTCATCTACTTTTTAAAGGGATGTTAGGCAGGGTCTATATTTCAAAGGAATAACAGTTGGAGTAAGGGCAGAGAGAACAAAGAGTTGAAAAGAATCTAAATTTTGCAAAGAGCCTAGAGAAAAAGCACATAGATTTTGGAAATAATTATTCAACTTACTTTGCAGAATACATTTGTGAGGTATAATCATTGGATGAGCGAGGGATGTAATCGGTGCATGTCATAACTGAAAGAAAGATAACATCACCAGGTAAAAAAGTTAGGACTTTTCAAAAATGAAATGGGAAAATGCTTATCTCACTGCATAGTCTTTCAAACTAAATAACAAAATAAAGTTTGGATATCAGAAATTTAGAAAGATTATGTATTAGAAAATACTTCACTGTTCCAATAACCTGATCATATGGACTTTTAGAGACAGCAAAGAAGATAAAATGTAGGAAAATATGAAAGAAAGCTGAAGACTGGTACCAACTGATTTCTACCTCCATTGTCCCTGATCGAAAATCACAGATACAGCAACTTCTTAAGCTATCTGCTGTACTCAAAGGCAAACTTGTCTCTTTAGGAAAGCATGCTATGCGTCAGCTTATTCATTCTTTGGGTATTTACTCTATTGTGAATAAAGGCCGTAAGAATGATTTGCAGGAAGACAGACTTGTGGACAGAACCCCATCTTGTTAGAAAGAAGTAGCTGCTGCGGTGTATAATCAATAGCATAAGAGATACAAACACAATTTTATAGTACTATTTAAGCTTTGTAGTAAAGGTTTTGTTCAGATTTGGCAAAGCAGAGGAATTGATATGGGGTCCCGACAAACCAAGTAAAGAAGACTTTCCCAGCCCGTAGTCCTCGTGACTGCCATGATTTCAGTTAGAATGGCTGCTATGAGGCTTGACTCTCATGATTTCATCTGGGATATATGTGTTAAATACTTGCCCCAAGTTTGCAGGCATTGTTTCAGTGCACATGTAGAGTGAGACATCATATTGAATTTGCACGAGACCTCTGAATTGTTCAAGAACTCCTTTCAACATCTCTAAAAGAGCCCACTCCACTGTGAACAGGAGGCACTAGGAGCTCTGGTAGCTCTATCAGGTTGAGTCCTTAAAGGGCAAGGTCACAGTTCAAGCCAACCAGCCGATCAGGAGAAAGAAGAGGGTCTCTGTTCTTGTAAAGATTTACAGTCCTGAAACCACATATAGCGTCTCTGTGAGTTGAATAGAATCAATAATGGGTCTTCAGTGGGTTAGGAGTAAACTAACTAACTTTACATCTAGCTGAGTTCCTTGAAAGAGCTCCTAAGCAAAAAAAAAAAAAAAAGATGTCTTGGTCAAGACCAAATGAGAGATCAGTTCATATTCAACAGTGAGACAAAGCAATACCTATGTTTATCATAGAAGATCTTTGCCCAATGCTATTGTTCAAGTTCTTAAAAAATTACTAAAAGCGCATAGAGTATATTCAGCTACAATTATTGATAAAAATGAATGAGATTTCATTCCACAAAGAATGCACAGGAAGTTCATTTGAATTATGGATGATGGTTTCGTCTTTGCTGACATGCACTTTCAAAACCCAAAACCCCATTCTTTCACCAAGTTAACGTAATACTAGAAGAGATTTAGAAAACAACCTGGGAAATTAAGCCAATTTTTACATCTGTAGAGAATGACTGTGCCTTGTTATCTTGCAGTATGGGAGAACTATGAAAGGATGATAAAGCTATGTCCTATGATACAATCAGAGGTTCAAATAGAATACTGACTCAGAGTAGAGTAGCAGTAGTGGAGAGAAAGTTACATGGGATAAGTTCTGAACATAAAACTGACAGGACATTCTGATGGATCTGAAGGTGGGGAATGAGGAAAATAATGCAGTATGAATTCCAGGTTTCTAGCTGGAGCCACTAGAGGGAGCGTCATCCTACTTTACTCTCTGAGATGAGGAAGCTGGGAAGAGCAGCTGATGAAGTGTAACCGAATCTGAAGGGTTAGGGGTTGGACGTTCTGCAACAGCTCTGTGGGAGAGAGATGTGGCCATCTAACCATCATCAAGATTACTGCCCAGAAAACCCCAGGGGCCAGTCTAATCGGCAACCTGTGGTTACTTTCTATCAGAATCAACTAGACTGAACCGAACGACAAGAAGAGAAGCAAAGCTTTATTCCAGACTTCCCGTCTGGAAAAGTCTGACTTTCCTTTCAGACACACAGATGGAGACGTCTAATGGGAGTTGGATACACAAATCAGGACTGTAGTGGAGAAGTCAGAGTGGAAATATAAACTATATATACTTAAAATATGTTATGAAGATCTGGTGGTGCAGTGGTTGAGTACTGAAGCTGTAAACCCAAAAGGTCTGTGGTTCAAACCCACTAGCCACTTCACTGGAAATGGCGCTTTGTGTAAAAAGGTATAGCTTTGGAAACCCTATGGGGCAGCTGCTCGACTGAGTGAGATTTGATTTGGGGGCAAGGAGAATGGTTTTTAATGAATAAGAAGATATACAAAAGGAAAGATGGTGGCCTAGAACCAAGCTTTGAGACTTAACCAACATTCAGAGTTCAGACAGAAAACGGGGCCATAAATAGAAAGGAAAGGGGTGAAAGGCAGACTGAGGAGAGAAATGTCTGCTTGAAGTGGCCACATCAAAGTCACTGATGACCCGACCAGGGCACTTTCATGGGAATGGTGGGGACAGAAGTTACATTTGTGAGGGCTGCGGGGAGGGGACCTGTGAGGAAATCTCTTTGCAGAGAACAGTGTCTATAACAGTGGGGGATGAGGAGCAAGGGAAGATGACTGTTTTATTTAACATGGCAGGTCCTAGACTAGGGCATGTCTCTGGGCAGATGAAAAGGTTATAAAGGGAAGGAGAAAGCGATGATGCCAGAGGTGATACCTTTGGAGAAGGTAAGAAGAGATAATAAGGACATGGAGTACAAACAAAAGGCACTCCCGGTCTTTAACAGAAACAAGAATGCACTCCAAGAGATTTTAAAAGGCTCATGGAAAAATGGTATCAAAGGATAATGGAACTTTCCCACAAACTTTGTTTTGTTTTGTTTTCTATTCGAAAAAAGAAACAATGACATGTGAGTAGTCTTGACTACTTGGTACTGGTGGGTAAAGAGAATTTCCTATGTGGTAGTTGTTGAGTGGATATGGATGCTCTGACAATAGAGCTGGTGTGAAATATTAAAAGGCAAAGTTCAGTAAAAAAATGTAGTAGAATTTCCAAGCCTATTGAATACCCAGATGATTATGATAAAGATGTAACTATCAGCTAGTTATGTATTTTTATCTATAGTGTTTAGTTATGGAAAAGGTAGCGTTAGGTTAAAATAGAGTTTTAGCAAGGGGAGTACAAACAGCAAAGTTATTAAGAGTATTTTTAATATAGTGACTATAATAAACCAAAAACCCAATGCCATCGAGAATGACTCTAGAGACCTAACACATACCTGACAGCATCGCCAAGGCTCCTACCAATTATAATATTAAACAAACAAAAACCAAGCTCACTACCATCAAGTCAGTGCTGACTCACAGAGACCCCTGAGGGTTTCCACGGCTAACTGCTGCTGGTGGCTTCAAACTTCCAATTATGCAGCTCGCAGCCCAACATGGGCCCACCAGGGCGCCTCCACGATCATAAAGAATCATGTAACCTCTGCTGAAACGAAGGGAAATGAAGAGAACAGACATCTACGCTGAGTGTTGAAATCCCCAAGAATAAGAGTATGGATAGAGAAGAAAACATCTTTTAAGAGCAGAGTTAAGTCTGAGGTAAAGGTGAAGTTGAAATTCTGTATTGCAAACCAGCATCCAGATGATTTTCATAAGTGCTAAAAAGGTTTGAGAACCACTGGAATAGAATCTCTTTGAAGAAAATAATATATAGAACAATTATATCTTAAAAACAAAAACAAACCACCCAAATAATAGAGGAGGGAAGAAACCAAAAACTCTGATACCTGCTTTGAAAACAAAACAAAACGGTTTTATTGGGACATAACCCACATATCATATCATTTGACAGTTCAATCATATTAACAAAAGTTGCACAATCATTAGCACAAACAATTTCAGAACATTTTCTTCTTTCTTGTACCCCTTGTTATTAACTTCTCATTTCCCAACAACATCCTGAGCCATATCCCTAAGAAATTATTAACCCAGTTACTCTCTCTATAGATTCACCAGCCTGGACTTCATAACACTGAAAACCATACAAAAACAAAGAAACAAAAAGCTAACAACAATAACAAAATAAAATAGGGGAAAACCTTCAACTTAAAAGCAGAAAACATTAAAAATTAAAACAACTTTAAAATGGGTCAAAAGGGAGATCAAATGCTAACATGTTCAATTTTACCCTAACTACATCTGCCACAATCCACTTTTCAGTGCACTCTGCATGACTGTGACAGCGCTCACAGGGAATTCTCTGGAGGCTTAATGCACATATATTTCCCTTTCACTTTTCCCCCCCTTAACTGGTATAATTTTAAATGGGTCAAAAGGGGGATCGAGTAAGATGTCATATTTTAACCTGACTGTAATCATCTCTACAATGCTCTGTCTGATAGCAATGCTGTTCACATCCCTTGACTATGGTCAGAAGGGATTCACCTGAGGCTTAATCCATGTGTAGATCCTGCAAATGGATTTTGGGTACATCTGCTTTTACTAATTGGAAGTGTAAGTAAGGTTAAGAATAATTGTTTTAAAAATAAAAAAATAATTTCCCCCCCAAGACCAAGTGCTCTACTCCTCCCCTTTTGTAAGTGTCCTACACAATTCTATTCTTTGAAAGGGTGTAGTAAAATACGGAAGGGCACAGCACTTTAATTTCTGGAAGCACAATTTGAGAGTAAGTGGGTATGCTTGGTACAGCTGATACCTTCACAAGAGAAAAGAAAGCCGTCTAGAAACATGTGTCTAACGGTGACTACAGTGAATGTTCTCTAGCAAGTGGACAACATGCTCTCTAGAGGTGGACCTACCTCCGGGCCTACTATCAATCTTGGCTTCTCAGAGACGGCTTTCCTTTTTCAGAATCACAAGTGGAATAACTGGGTAATTAGAAAGGTGCTGGTCTCATAAACTTTTCTAATTTTGAGAAAGGCATTATTGTCTTCCAATCTCAAAACAACAATAAAATCACCAAATGTGATTCCTTGTGTTAGCAGAATCCATGTTATTTTGTTCCTTAGCTCTATGTCAATAAAACTAATAGGAAAGAACAAGATGAAAATACACATAAGGCAGGAAAACCTGAAAATTTTGGGACAAAGAAGGTAACCAGTGAAAACCAATTAAAAAAGAATAACATTGCCTGGTTATAAGAATACCTATATAGATAACTGTGTATGCAAAGAGAGTACTTACTTTCCTCTGACATGGGAAGGTTTGACGCAAGGCTTGAAGTTTCCGGTTTCTGATCACTGCCTTCTGGGTTGCTCACTTGACTGGGAGAACCAAAATGAATATATTAGCCCCTGGCTGATCTGCTGCATTATTAAAAGTGATTAAATAGAACCCACTTTCTCCTAGGTGATATGTAAAAGGTAAGGTACAGCTTCTTCATATTTTTTATTTTTAGCAGCTACTTGAAAAGGCCCAAGGGCAGTACCCTCAGCGTTCTGCTGCTCCTGGTTGTACTGCCAAACTCCTTCAGTTTTTATGATCTCAGAAACTCCAGGTAAGTCACAGGCAAATCAGATTGTCTTCAAAGACCATATGGTTAAAAAAAAAAAAATCCACAACATTTAAAATACTGTTCTCTCACTTTGTTTCCAAAATACCACAGGAAAACAGGCAGATGAGTTCAGACAAGTGGTTCTCAATCTACTACAAATCAGAATCACTTAAGTTTTTGCAACTTACAGTTGTTAGCAAACAGGGGCGCTAAACCCTTGAAATGGTTCATGCCACTGAATTTCTTCCTTCCCAATAATAGCTTAATTATATATCATACTCCAAACCAGGGGTCCTCAAACTATGGCCCATGGGCCACATGCGGCCCGCCAAGGACATTTATCTGGCCCGTGGGTGTTTTTGCCCCGTGTTTTTACTTCAAAATAAGATATGTGCAGTGGGCATAGGAATTTGTTCATAGTTTTTTATAAACTATAGTCCTCCCCTCCAATGGGTCTGAGGGACAGTGAATCAGCCCCCTGTTTAAAAAGTTTGAGGACCCCTCCTCTAGGCTATGCAACCTCTTTTTTTTTTAAACTTACAAGGAGAATTAAGAGAATTTACAGAACGGAATATAAATTGGAAAAATAAATGATTATAGTGGATACTTGGACATTGAGAAGATTCTTACTCACATCATGGACTACTGTACAGATTATTCTTTTGTCCCTCACAAAAGCCTCCTTTTCCTTCTACCATACATTCCACTCTGTTAAATTTCCTCAACTACCAGTACTGGCAGTCTCTGGATTACAAATGCTTTCTGTTCGTAAATCTGTCTTTAAGTCCAATTTTTAAACAAGTTAGGTATGGTTCATATTTAGCAGCAGTCAAATCCCTGCCAAGATAGCAACCCCACATTCATGCTCCCCGGTAAGAAACTTGCTTTGCTCGTCTACACTCTCGGAAGAGGAAGACACTGCATGAGGTGCTTGAAATAGCTGGGAAAATAAGACGGACTAATCAAAGGTAACAACAGTTTTTATGTAGCAAAAATTTAAATGAAGTGTTAATTATATAAAAAAACACATCAGGCCAAAATTCTTAAATCACAAATAATATTTCTGAACTGGCCTCCAACATTAAATATAGTACCAGAAAACAAATGAACAAAAATGTATAAATATGTATTTTAAAAATGTAAATATACATTTATAAATATATAAACATATACTATCAATATTTTTGCCTTTCTGGTATATTTTAAATGTTCATACCTACTCACACACAATTCCCAGAGGAAGGGCATGAAACTGAACTAGCGCACACCTTTCCGCCAACAATGACGGGCGGCGTTTGGCTGCTACAAGTGCCTGGACAATGTGTTCTATTCTCCTCTCTAATTCACTGCATAGTGCCTGAAGTCTTAGAAGCGTGCAAGCTGCTCTCTGAGTCACAACAATTGGTTGCTGTTCAATTGAAACATGAGGGGAAGGAAGAGAGCCCGAACCAGGAGGCGGCTATGGAACGTGTGGCTAATTGCCTCCATGAACAACTGCCTCCTTTGCCATGAGCCCCAAAGAAGTATACGGTGCTTGTCAACCACTATTGAACACTTTGATCAAAGAATCCACAGAAGAATCCTGATCGAATGGGGAAACTGAAGAACAGAATTTCAAATTCACATGTGTTCCAGGATTCCTAGTGCCATGGATATTGTATGAACCCCTATAACTATTGCCCTGAGATCTTTAAATCTTAAACCAAAAATGTTTCCTGAAGCCTTCTCAAAACCAACAATAGTTTAGGAAAAAAAGGTCTACACCTTGAAAGTTTGTGCTATTTTAAAAACTATTTATATGGCATCAAATTGATAATAGCAAGTCAAAAGATTAGACAGACCTGTGTGTGTGTGTGTGTGTGTGTGTGTATGTGTGTGTGTGTTAGATCTGCATTAACACGAGGAAAATTCAACAAAGGGGAATGAGAATGGTTGCACATCCTGAAGAAAGTAACCAATGTCATTAAAATGTACATGCTGAAACTGTTGAACTGGTGTATGTTTCACTACGTACAGTCTCAAAAACAAGAAAATTTAAGGAAGTGAAAAAACAAATCATTGCAATTAAGTCAATTCTGACTCACAGTGACCCTGGACAGAGTAAATGAAACTGTGTATCTTCATGTATTGTGCCTTATTTATGCTGCAAATATAACATTAAACTATCAAGAGAGAAAAAAAAGAAACTATATATCTTATAGAAGCAGACAGCCTCATCTTTCTCCTGCAGAGCAGGTAGTGATGAGTTTGAACTGTCAACCTTGCAGTTAGCTGACCAATGCTTAACCTGCTACTCTACTAGGAATTCTTTAAAAAAAAAAAAAAAAAAGTGAAGTATTTACTTATGTCAGAACTGATAACTGACTTATGAAAGACTTACAAAAGGGTATAGGAATGAAACTCCTGTGGAAAGTTGAGAGACTGTATAAAATTTTTAGAGACATACCGTATATACTCATGTATAAGGCGAGTTTGCCAGCACATTTTTAAAGGCAGTTTTTGTGGTAAAAGTAGGTGCCTCGGCTGACATTCGGGCGGCTTATACGCGAGTATAAATGGTAAATATAAACCTTGCTCAACACCGTGCAGCATGAAAAAAAATATGCTCTAAAACAGTGGTTCTCAACCTTCTTAATAACAGTTCCTCATGTTGTGGTGAACCTCCCAACCATAAAATGATTTTTGCTGCTACTTTATGACTGTAATTTTTCTACTGCTATGAATTGGGCGACCCTGTGAAAGGGTCGTTTGACCCCCAAAGGGGTCACGACATACAACTTGAGAACTGCTGCTCTAAAATAACATGAGGGAAAAAAAGAGTATACAAAAGTACACAAACTATATAAAGTGAACATTATAAATACCTCGTTCTAATTCAACAGAATTCCTGTCAATAATCAGTACATAAGTGTTAAGGGAAACTTTTTGTCTTAAGTCAAATAATATCAAAATATAAAGGCTGATGTTAAGAAATAAGAGGAGGCCATCATGCCCATACACTAACCACTTAGGGGCTGGGGGAATTAAGCTGATCACTAAAAAGAAATTCATGTTTACATACCTTAAAGTTTGCTCTCCTGGTTCCTGCATCTTGACTTTTTTCACCTGAAAAAATATACACAAAGGTACCAATGCAATGATCCATTTTTGAAATCCCCTAGCATACGTAAATGGCAGGGTAACTTGTTTCATTTTGCTTTGCTTAGATTTATTTAATTAACCTGTGCTGTATTTTGGAGTAAGCAGCCCTGGTCATGCTATGGGTTAAGCACTGGGCTGGTAGTTCAAATACACCAGCTGCTCCTCAAGAGAAAGATGAGGGTCCCTGTGCCTGCAAAGATTTACAGTCTCAGAAACCATAAAAAGTCTACACTATCCTATAGGGTCACTATGAGTTGGAATAGACAGTCAGTTTGATCTTGGCTTATAATTTATCATAGAATCCCTGGTGGCACAGTGGTTAAAGCGCTTGACTGTATACCAAAAGGTTTGCAGTTCAAACCTACCTTCCAGCCATTCTGTGGGGGAAGGATGTGGCAGTGTGGTTCTGTAAAGATTACAGCCTTAGAAACCCTATGGGGCAGTCCTCGTCTATCCTAGAGGGTCACTGTGAGTCGGAATCAACTCTGGCAGTGAGGCTGGTTTGAGTATATTTTAGACTTAGATTTACATGAAACTTTTTTCTTCTTTTTAAATGAAAACATTGTTTTTCAGGCATGGTAAAATGTTAACCAGGATAAAGTATATTAATTTCGATTAAGTCATTAGGCTTACTGTAGACTAGAAATACGTACGTAAACTGAAATTATTCTTCTGGTATAAGAAATTAAATCAAAGCCAGTGAGATACCATTTCATATCCAGTAGGGTGATGGTTGTCAGAAAAACAAAACAGTAAGTATTGGTGGGGATTGGAGAAACTGGAACCCTCATCCATTGCTAGTGGGAATGGCAGAAGTACTATCGAAAGGTCTGGAAGTTCCTCAAAAAGTTAAACATGGAATTTCCATTATGTCCTAGCACTTCTTTTTTCCTATTTTCTACGATACAGTTTTTAATTTGTTTGTTTGCTACATGTCTTCCCTGTATTGCTATTTTATTTTTTAAGTAACAGTTTTGACATTTCTTACACCATCCATTATATCCGTTCACATACAATTTTGTCATTCAATCCCATCGAGTGGAGTTCTACAATCATCAATGCTATCAGTTCTCATTTGCCCCTGTCCTAGCATTTCTAATCTCAGGTAGATACCCCACAGATCTACAGTAGGAAAGCAAACAGACACTTGTCCACCGATGATCATCACAGCACCACTACTCAAGATAGCCAAAAGGGGAGACTGCTCAAATGCCCATGAAGAGATGAATGGATACATAAAATGTGGTATACACACATAATGCAGTATTATTCTTCAATAAAGAAAAATGAAGCTCTGGGACATGGTACAATACAGATGAACCTTGAAAAATGCTTTTAAAAAAGGGAAAGAAAACATTATGATGAATGAAACAAATATTGTATGTTCTACTTATATGAACTGTCTAGAGACTGTCTAGAGATTAAATGAATATATTAAAGTTTATTAATACTCATATGCAAGTTCAGAATAAAGCTAATGAAAATTAAAACAAGTCCACAAGAGTCAAAATACAACTGTGAGTCTATCCCACTTGAATTTTGAGAACGTCTTCATGAACAGATTTGATGCATTGAACACTAATGACAGAAGACGTGATGAACTATGGGAGAACATCAAGACCATCATTTGTGAAAGCGAAAGGTTATTAAAAAGACAGGCAAGAAAGAAAAGATCGGAAAAAAAGATCCAGATGGATGTCAAGAGACTCGGAAACTTGTTCTTAATCACATGGTAGCTAAAGCAAACAGAAGAAAGGATAAAGGCAAGGAGCTGAATAGAAATTTCAAAGGACAGCTCAAGAAGGCAAACACAAATATTATAACAAAATGTGCAAGGTTGGAATTAGAAAACCAAAAGAGAGGAACATGCTCAGCATATCTGAAACTAAAAAAACTCAAGAAAAAGTTCAAGCCCTGAATTGCGATTTGGAAAGATTCCATAGGCAAAATATTGAAAGATGCAGGAAGCATCAAGAAGAGACGGAAAGAATGCAGAGTCACTGTACCAAAAAGACGTAGTCACCAGTCCACCGTGTCAGGAGGTAGCCTATGAGCAAGAACCAATGGTGCTGAAGGAAGACGTTCAAACTGCACTGAATGTATTAGCCAAAAAACAAGGCTCCGGGAATTGAAGTGCTTCAGTAAGCTGAAGAAACAATGGAAGCACTTACTTAGCAATGGCAGGAAATTTGGAAGCCAGTTACTTGGAAAATATATTTGTACCCATTCCAAAGAAAGATGACCCAACAAAATGCTCAAACTATAGAATGATATCATTGATATTGCACAGAAGTAAATTTTTGCTTAAGATCATCCAACAACTATTACAATAGCACATTGACAGGGAACTGCCAGTAGTTCAGGCTGGATTCAACAGAGGAAATCAGGGATGTCATTGCTGATGTCAGATGGCTCTTAGCTGAAAAAGAATACCAGAAAGATGTTTACTTGTGTTTCATTGAGTGTGCAAAGGCATTAGACTGTGTGGACCTTAATAAATTGTGGGTAACCTTGAGAAGTATGGGAATTACAGAACACTTCATTGCATTCTCTCACCAGACCTGTTCACGCTGTGTGCTGAACAAATCATTAAAGAAACTGGATGTAGCATCAGGATTGGAGGGAGGCTTATTAACAACCTGCGGTATGCACATGACACAATCTTGCTTGCTTAAAGTGAGGAGGACTTGAAACACTTGCTGATGAAGATTACGGGCTGTAGCCTTTAATATGAATTAAGACTCAAAATCCTCACAACTGAACCAGCAGGTAGCATCAGCATAACTGGACAAATGGTTGTCAAGGATTTCATCTTAATTGGATCCACAAAGTTCACAGAAGCAGCAGTCAAGAGATCAAAAGACATATTGCATTAGGTAAATTTGCTATGCAAAACTGCTTTAAAATACTGAAGAGCAAGGATGTTACTTTGAGGACGAAGGTGGGCCTGACGCAAGCTATGGTGTTCCCATAGTGTGACGCGCATGTGAACGTGGGACACTGAGGAAGGAAGACTGAAGAAGAAGGGAGGCATCCGAATGGCGGTGCTGGAGCAGGCTGCAAGCACGAGGGACTGCTCCAAGGACAAGCCCATCTGTGTTGGAAGAAGTAAGGCCAGAGTGCCAGAGGCCAGGATAGCAAGACTTTGTCTTGCGTGCTTTGGACATATTGTTAGGAGAGACTAGTGCCTAGAGAAGGAGATGGATCAACACAGTAGCTCTATCCGTGGGGCTCAGGCATAGGACAATTGTGAGGATGGTGCAGGACTGAGCAGTGTTCTATTCTGTTGTGCGTAGGGTTACTAAGCCAACTTGAGGGCACCTAACAACAGAACAACGAAATGACACATATTTTGTTACATATATTTTGCCATAATTTAAAAAAATTCAGGTATGCTTAACAGTTTAAAGACTATGCTCTTTGATAAAAGATAAAAACAATTTAGAGGGTGAGCCAGTTCTTTGTTTGCCATTTGTTCCATTCCTTGTTTCTCACTAAGCCCCAAATAACAGCTTTTAAAGCCCCTTTTGTTGTTTTCTGAGTACGTCTCCCAATCTGAATTCCTTTTCTATACCTCAGCTTAGGGCATACCGCTCATAAGGATACACCATTTATTTCTGTCTACAGATAAGTATTACTAATTTTTCTTTCGTTTTTAAAAATCCTTTTTGGAGGGCTCGTATAACTGTTATCACAATCCATACTTCCATCCACTGCGTCAAGCAAATTTGTACATTTGTTGCCATCATTATTCTCAAAACATTTTCTTTCTACTTGAGTCCTTGGTATCAGCTCATTTTCCCCCTCCCTCCCCCACTAACCCTTGATAGTTTATAAATTATTATTTTATCATGTCTTACACTGTCCGACGTCTCCCTTCACCCACTTTTCTGTTGTTCGTCCTCCAGGGAGGGGGTTATATATAGATCCTTGTAATTGGTTCCCCCTTTCTACCTCACCTTCCCACCACCCACTCGGTATCTCTACTCTCAACACTGGTCCTGAGGGGTTCATCTGTCCTGGATTCCCTGTGTTTCCAGATCCTATCTGTACCGGTGTAACATCCTTTGGTCTAGCCAGATTTGTAAGGTAGAATTGGGATCATGATAGTGCAGGTGGGGGGGGGCGGGGGGAGATGCGGCAAAAGGAAGCATTAAAGAACTAGATGAAAGTTGTATGTTTCATTGTTGCTACACTGCACCCTGACTGATTCGTCTCCTCCCAGTGACCCTTCTGTAAAATGATGTCCAGTTGCCTACAGATGGGATTTGGGTCCCCACTCGACACTCACTCCCCCTCATACACAATGACAGGATTTTTTGTTCTTTGATGCTTGATACCTGATCCCATCGACACCTCGTGATCACACAGGCTGGTGTGCTTCTTCCGTGTGGACTTTGTTGCTTCTCAGCTAGATGACCACTTGTTTATCTTCAAGCCTTTAAGACCCCAGACGCTGTCTTTCGATAGCCGGGCACCATCAGCTTTCTTCACATTTGCTTATGCGCCCGCTTTGTCTTTGGCGATCATGTCAGGAAGGTGAGCATCACAGAATGTCGGGTTATTAGAACAAAGCGCTCTTGCGTTGAGGGAGTACTTGAGTGGAGGCCCAATGTCCACCTGCTACCTTAATACTAAACCTATAAATATACTAATTTTTCTTTAAAATTTTTGAACATCAATTTATTTTTCAAAACCCTAACCCAAACCATACAAGATAAGAGATTTATTCCATTTATTCCACCACCTCTGTAAATTACTAATGCTGAATCTGGTGTGTAAAAACTCAAACTGACCCCATCAAGTTGATTCCAACTCACAGTGACCCCATAGCGCAAGGAAGACCTGCCCCTGTGGGTTTCTGAGACTTTAACTCTATAAAGGGTAGAAAGCTTGTGGTCTTTCTCCCATGGATCAGATAGTAGTGTCAAACTGCTGAACTTTTAGTTTGCCGCCCAACATGTAACCACTATACCATCGGGGCTGCACTACTAAATTATTTTCCTATGAAAATATTTCCTTTTAAAACGAGTTCTGAGAGCATCTTCCATAGCTACAATGGGTTTCTTAACCCTTTTAAAGACTTAATTGTTTTGTTTTGAATTTTTATTGAAACCACATAATTTCTGTACTAAAAGACATTTTGACTTAAATGAAAAAAAATTTTTTTTGAATTAATAAGAATTTTGATATAATTAGTGGGACACATATGTCCCGGGTATGTGTGTATGTGTGTCTTAGTTGGTTGATGAAATCTGGTTGGTGAGATGAGACCAGTTTCTTCAGGTTTCACCCAGTTCCATAGGTCCCCACCAGATGGCAGCACATACTAAAAGTAGGACAGTTTCACACTAAACCCCAGAGGTGAAAAAATGTAAGTGGGCATTATATATCCCACCAGTCACAAAAGAGTTAAAAATGTTTCCTGGGGAACGTCTTATTAAAAGCCAAGAGATAACACCCGTTTTCATTCTTCAAAAGAGTTCCAACTTGAATAACAATATAAGCAGCTTCCAGGTGTGACAATGGGGGGAAAAAGCTGTTTATTTGGTGTAAAGATAGTGGTGATCACATAAGGAACCTATTCTGCCAGCAAAGGGTAAAATCTGATGGCATAAAAGACAAAGAGTAAGGACATGAGACTAGGTTTTATGTTATAATGCGAACAATGAACTAAACAAAAGGAACAATTCAATAAGGAAGACTAAAGAGATGATGGAGTTAAAATAATGTGACACCTCTCTCTTTATATACAGGTAAATAGTGGGGTTAAAAATCTTGATTTTATTTATCATTATCAACTGAGGATAGGACTATTTTTCTATTCATTTTTCGTATCTCTACTAGAGTAGATCTCTACTACCGATTTCCTCAGTCTGATATTTGCTCTATTCTATTTCTTAATAGTTAATAAGGAAATGATGTCGTGTATCATGATAAAATCTATTCTTAAAGCACTTTAATTTTTCAACTTCCTCTCAATCAAAGTAACCAGTTTACATATCACGTTATAAGAGTTGAATAAAATGGCATGGGAATAAAGCAGAGTAGAAAAGGTGACCTGCCAGCAGTTCGGCTTCACAATTCTCACCGTGAATGGGTCAGAAGTAACTAACAACAATGCCCATATCAATCGTAAGCCAACACATGAGTAAGTCAATAGTTAATACTGAAATTATGACTAGAGCTTTGTTTTACCACATTAAAAACTCAATGAGAGATTTTTTCCTTTTGATATAGTTACTGTCTCTAATTCAGCTATAAACACTGTGGGGGGCAGTTTTTAACCCTACCATTTACCTGATGATCAATGTTCCGCATGGAAACGACTGACATTTCAAGTGTTTCAAAAGGTCTTTTTTCTCCAGTTGTTTAGGTACTTACCTCATCAGAAAGGGCTAAAAGAATAAATGGCAAAATAATCAACAATACGCATTTCTTGGTCTAAAGAAAAATACTTAGAATAGTTTAAGGACTTTATTATTTAAGTAAAGGCTGATATCCATTCTTTTATGAGAACTTATCCTATTACCAGCTTTCAGAATTCAAAATTTTCTGAGTTGAACTTTCATAAAGATCGGCAGATATTTACCACTCTATTTTCTCTTAATATAAAATGCAAGAGGTCCACTTAGCATAGCAAATTGAATCAGTATGATTTAAAAATAAAAAAATAAGAAGCCACTAAACCTATACCATTTGAGAACATTTAAAACAAGTTTACTATTTATCACATTAAAATTACAAATTAAGAATTCAGTCTAGTCTCTAGATTCTTGTGTGATTAAAAAATTAAGTGTTCAAATGATACTTTCCTTGGCTATTACTATTTTGTAAAAAATTAAATCAATTAGAGCAATGCAGATAAAAAATAATACTGACAGTTTGGGTAGAAAAATGACACACAGTGTAACTGATACTGATAAATAGATTTCCTCACTTATACTCTAAAAATGATAAAACTAACCATTGCTTTTCTTAAAAAGGCATTTCCACATACAGTGCTCACTTTGTTACACTTAATTTTCTAAACCGACTCCTTGATTTAAAATTAAGCTAGTAATATATGAATTTTAAAACATAAGATTTTGCTCAGAAGGAAAGTATTAAGGAGCCTTTTCCTTATTTTTACTTGAAATCTGCAGTATAACTGAATAATATTTAAAACGTCTTAAGATTAGGTTTCCCATAACCAACTTAACATTGTCAAAGGGAATACTTACTGGCTGTTCTGATAAACCTTGCTCCTCTTCCATGAGGGCTGCTCTCTCGTCTGGAGCTTATGTGAGGGGAGTGCAAGTCTCGCTCCGCAGTCTTCACAATCTGTTTAAAAATGGGAGGGGTGAGGAGATTCAGAGCTTTATGTACTCTTAAAGCATTATCATTGAGGCCATCAGAGAATATTTTTTTTTAATATTTTGCTACCCCAAGCTTTCTACGTGAGTTCCAATCTCCAAATCTCAAACCTGCATGTGGCTTTTCAAAATTGATATGCTGCACCAAGTGAAGATAGGTGTACACACATGACTTTTATAATACCTTGCAAAGGCCAGCACGTGGAACCACTTGTGCTGTATTTAAAACACGGTTACTATAGTACCTAATGCATTAAACATTTTACATTGACAGCCATGTGCAGATAACGATAATTTTTGGGGGGGATTAGTTACATTAAAAATGATAAAAACTGGCTTAATATGTCAGTAAATTTTGATAAAAATCTAACCTGCTTTAAAGTGGAACATTTATATAACTGTTAACTGACACAAAATCCCTTTAAATAGGACAAAATAGAATATTAACTAAATACTTTTACAATAACCACCTTTCTATATGTAATCGATTTAAAGAAAAACTCTTATTTTTCTGGACCTATTTTAATAATTAAAATAAACAAGCAAAACAAGCCTTAAAATTCAGAGTTAAAGAAATACTGTCCTGACTTCTAAATGATGAAAGAAAAAATAAAAGTAAGATTCTAAGCTCCATTCTTCCTGGTTAAGACCACCCTACTATGTGCCACCTGGTGAGAGAGAGAGAGACACACACACACAAACCAAGCAGAAAAATACTCTATATTTCTATTTAGTAAAAATGAGACTTAGGATTTTCTCCCAAACGGATGAGACTGCTAATGCTTCATATCTACCACCAAGATAACCAAATTAACATATAAAGCAACAGCAAAAATATAATCATATTGCAGAAGCAATGAAAATAAATAGCATGAAAAGTAAAACAAAAAACTTCAGTTGTATCAATATACCACTACTCTAATTCCAATACTGTATCTTGGTGCAAATCAACACATTTTACTTTAAAGCCACAAACTCCAGAATGGGTATAGAAAAGAAAACACGTGTAAGGGATACAATTAGATGCAAAATGCCTAACAGTTTTATTCCCTGCCCTGATCTAGTAGATCCAAAGGGAAAAAAGCATAAAGGTCAGAAGTGATTGCTCGCTTTCCTCACGTGTAGCTCAGCTCACACAGACAGCCTCAAACGCCGAGTTCTCATACTTCATGACGCAGATACTAGTGCTGCTGAATTAGAGCGCAATAACTACAGCAGCAACAGGAACTACCTTTCCTGCTCTTGTTTTGCTCTACTCTAAAGAGCATAAAAAATATGACGTGAAACCAACTCACGAGGCGAAAGATAAAACATTTTTGTTTTACCAGCTTATATTATTTTGGTTTTTAAACGGAAACGTCTTAACTTACTGAAACCTTAATATTGCCTAAATGTAGATAATTACTTATATGGCTTCTTTCCATAAGAGAGAGTAAAACAGTATGAAAACATAAGGGGAAAAAACCCAATGCTTTCTAATACCTCATCTGTTGAATTTAGGTGTGACCAGTTCTCAGCTAAACAAAAAATGAAAACATTCCATGTTTTCTTTAATAAGGGGCCACAACTGTAGAAAATGCAGCCCCTGCGCAGATTCTTGATGAGAGAGAAAGAATAAATATGTCCCCATATGGGGACATAAAATCCATCTCCGAGTAAGAGAACGGTAAAGGAGAGCTGTAAAAAAGGAGGCTCAATGACACAAGTGCTTTAATTTTGTTTCTGAATACAAGAACTAATTTATTAAAGATTCTGAACGGCGTTAGAGAACGTGAGACTTTAAGATATTGATTGACCACAAAAGGTCATGGGTTTAAATGGCAAGAAACATTACAGTAAGGAGATAAATTTCTCAAGCTGCACAAAACCAAATTGTTTAAATTTTAACTTCTAAAATATGGTAATATTATATTGATTTTATGATAGATATCTACTATTTTTCCTGAGATAAATTCTATAGTAGGTTACATGAAAATGACCTATTTTAAGAAAAAAATGGAATAACTTACCCCTGGCTACCTCCATACTTCTTTCTCCTTTGAAAACAAACACTCCTGCTGTTTTCATCTCAAAAATCATACCCTTATTTTCTTTGCTTTTCAATGTAGAGCAATAGAAAATGGTAAATGCAATTCTATATTTAGGGGGGAAATGTATTTTAAAAATCAAGACTTGATATTAATTAACTGATCAATTTAAAACAAAAGACTAAGAAAAAAGGATTTATTACAGAATCTTTTGGAATTTTACAGACAAAATGTGATCTATGGGAAGCTGGCAAATGTACACTCTAGTATATTTATTAATTGCAAGATATTTTAATAATTACAGGAAGTATATAATTCGATTACAACATACATCTAATATATCCAATTTTTTAATCAATATAGTATTTTTCATCCTTCTAATAATTTGTAATTGAAATACCCTGAAATATAAAAACAAACTAAATATAAAAATGTAAGTATTTATCACAAGTTCATAGTTGTCTATCAACTTTTCATATTAGATCTCAGACTACTTTCTCCAAGAGGCACATGCTATAATAAAATAATCATATTTACTAGCTATCAGATGAAATTACTGAATAACAGAAAACAGTGCTCCAGTACTTGATAAAAAGTATACAAATATACTAATCATATTACATTTCCATCTATTAGTTCTAGAGCTTAATGTAATTGAATTTTTTTTTGCCATTAGTAAATGCTGACATTATTCTACAGTTCAGTTTTTAAATACCAAATCATATGACAGCTATGACAGAAATATACAAAGTGTATTCTTAATGTAATTAAAACAAAGATAATTAAAACTTGGCCAAGTAGCAAATGCAATTAAAAACACGCTCCTAGTTAATCTTTTGTTTAAGTGGTTTGGGGCCATCTGGATAATTATGCCTTTCAAGTTTCAATGTTTATTTACTATTGGTTTCTAAATACAGTTTTACCATCTTTTTTTGGAGATCGAGCTTGTCATTACCTGTATGTTTTCATGAGCAGAAATCTGAGAAAATTTACAACTGGCAAAAGAAGTGGTATTTCCTAAGACTTCACTTTTCCCTACCTGCTAATGCTGATAATTAAAAAAAATTAGAGCTTTGCGTGATTTAAAATTTTAATGCTATTGTGATTTCATATGCTCAAGAATCAAGCAGAATCCTTTTGCAACAAATTTTATTTTTAATTTTAGAAATTAGAAGGAAATTAGTGATAAATATTTTATTTCAAAATTCTAATTAGGGTCCTACCTCATAATTTGTTTTGTACCAAGTTCAATATACTACTTACTAAAAACTGCCAAAAGCAGGAACTTAACTTCCTTCAGTATATCATTATAACTCTGGTTATAAAAGGGAAAATTTTAAATCAAACACAGAAAGAAAAGGACATATATTTTAAAGCATAAAATTAAAATCGAATTGTTAGAAACAAAATATATGAGGGGGCTTCAAAAAGTCTATAGAAAAATTTCATTATTTTAAAATTCTACTTTCCATGAACTTTTTGAAAGCCCCTCATATATAATTTTTAATTAGCTTTAAGAGATCGGTCTAAATAAAACTAAGCAATCTGATGACCAGTCTTGCTGGGGAACTTGCATGCAGCAAAATATGCACAGTGATAATCAGGGGTTAATTGACTGTTGTTGATACACTCCTGCACAGAAAACAAGCAGTACATAAATTTGATCATCAACCACATTGCATTTTAGGAGTCTATTTATTGCTACTTGTCAAACCTTACATATATTTATAAATAATATTAATGCATATTATAGAAAAAGCTACAGAAACTTCCCTGGGGGAAACCGACAGCATCCTTATCATTTACTTTTTAAAATCACAGCAATAAATAATAAAGAATAGTAGATTAAAGAAGAATATTAGCAAAGTAGCTTGTCATCACTTAAAGTTTGTTTTTAAAATGTGATCACTTTGGTACTTCACAGTAGTAGAGAGTCAATTCTTACCAAGGCACCTTCAAACATAATTATGTAAATGCCTTTTGGAGAATGCAAACAAAAAGCAAATACCCCCTTCTAATGACATTAAGACTTCTGATTCTTGAAGAATTCCAACAACTGGTCTATTTTAGAGGGGAATCTCCTAATGAATTCAGAAACAAGTATCTTCACAGCTAGAGAACCAAACACAAAGCCTAAAGATATTTATGCAAAATAAATTCAAATGTATGAATTAAGAGGCTTTGGCAGGCAAAATAAGAAGCTGTTACGGAAGCTTTCAAAATATAGGAAACAATTTTGAAGTCTCTTGCTTATTAGTAGAAAATGTTGGTAAGTACAGTGCAATGGATTGCTTTCATACAGCTTTTCTCACCTCGGTCTTATAAGTCCCACCAAATGATTGGGTGGGATTATGCACATAAGGTGTTTAAGGCCCACCAAGGGTTTGGACAGCTTGCTAATTAATAATGCAAATGAATGAGGGGTGTGGGGCTGTGACCATATAAATAAGGGGCATGACAGCCTAACAAGGGGATCCATCAGTTTTGCCATCCTGCTAGGCTTAATGTACGCTCTCCCAGAGGACGGAGGAGAGGAGAACCTAACTACCAAGAAGAATAAATGAGAGTAGTGGGATCGCTGAGTTAAGACAGACAGCTGCAATCTCAGAGATGGTGTTAAGTGGGTGAAAAGCACAAAGAGGCTGGCACAAAATGGTATAGTGGGCTTGCCAGCACACAAGAGAACTGTGCACTTTTGGGTGGGACACTTCCTGGTAGATTGGGGCTCTCCCATAGACTTCGTGGTAGTGTTAAAGTTTTGTAACACTTCCCTGATCAGGGTAATGACCAGACCAACGGGGGAAGGGGCTGAAGGCTAGAGAAAGGTCTTTCTGTGGGTGTGGTTTACGAATTGTATCCTGAATCAATCTGAATACTGCACTGTAACCTATTATTGTCCTAATAAACTGTGAATATGGTCTGTGAGTTTTGTGTGGCATTG